CCCCCCCCTCGCCCCCCACCCTCGCCCCTCTCTCCCAGCGGTACAGGCACCAATGCTAAAAAATCTGAGTCTGAAGCTAAAACTGAAGAAAACTCTCTTCCACACCCCTCCTTTGTCGCCTCATCTCCCTCCTGGTCGTCGGTACGCCAGAAGTTCCACTTCTTCCCTCCCCAGGAGGCTGTTTTGGGTCAAGTTATGTTTCAGTATGTAAGCGTATGCCTTATTGTTTTACATCTCAATCGATTCGAGCAGAGGATGATGGTGGCGAATGACATAAATGTGCTACGAGTGTTTACAGATATCGAATGAATCAGCATATAAATAAATATTCGCTACTGCTGCTAGTGGTAGTATAAGCACATGCACTTACTATGTCTAACAGATTCGGTAAGATGTGTATCCTGAACGGCTCGTCTGACAAAATTCAGAAGTGATTTAATCAGTGCGGCACGCTGCTGATGGCACTGCTCCGTTTTTCGGTTCTTCGATTCAAGCAGATGTTTCATGCACATGTTCACGTCCGTCTAGAATAATTTAATAGATCAGCAGGGGAAAAAATTTCTTCCATTTCAAAACCCATCAAATACTGCTTAATGGTATACTAACAATTAAACGCTGGATAATGATGTTCATCCCGTTGCATGCCGTGAATCCGTTGGCATCGAGCGATGTCATAATATCCATGACACGAACAGCACGTGTCACAAACGAGATATGTTGCACCGGTAGATTGGTGCACGATACGACACTGAGCAGTATCTCAGTCATTGAGCACGAAATCAGTGCCTGACTACCTGGAATATGATAAAACTTGGATCTTTTTCAAAAATCCTCTTTTTGAATCTTTTCTAAATCATTTTATAATCTTTTTTAAACTTCGTCCTTTTTCATCTACTCCTTTTCCACCCCACTCTCAGCCCCCCAATCCTACAATCACAACCCTTCCCGTTCTTTCCTTGCATCCTTCTCTTTCCTCTTCCTTTTCTATTAAACGCTGCGATCGCCAGACTGATGAGGTCCAGTCGCAGTGTTGAGTTAAGATGTTTATGACTTGATAGACCAAAACGTCTTATCTCATTCTTGCCTTCTTTCCCTATCTTTTCCTGCTTTGTGCATCCACTACGTCTTCGATTCTTTGGCATTCAAGGTCAACCTGGATGCTACAATCGGCCAATAGGTTTAGGATCACCATTAAAGTGATGAGATGTATTAGTCGAGAAATATTCGAGATTCCAAATAAGTTATAGAAAAATAGCAGCGCTTAGCAATGAATGTGACACGGAAGTACGACTTTTAAGACCAACCCACTGAGAGGTACAGCTGTTGGGCCCGAAAAAAAAATCATGTTGTAACTAATTTTACTTTGATCAGACTTCTTTTCGACTATTCACAGAGCGAA